ACCGGGGGGGTGACTGTGATTATGAAATGCTAAGAGAAATCAGAGAAAGTACCAAAAAAACGTCCATAATGATGAGTGATTTCAACCACTCTGTATTGACTGAGTGCATATCACTTCAGGAAAGGCTGCCAAGAGACAATTTCTCAACACCATTAATAACTGGCTTTTGGAGCAGCTAATCCTGGAGCCCATAAGCGGAGAGGCAATTCTTGATTTAGTCCTAAGTGGCTCACGGGACCTGGTCCAGGGGTAAATAGAACTGAACTGCACAGTAATAGCAACCATCATGTAATTAAATTCTACATCTTTGTAGAGGAAAAACTAGCAAAGAAATCCACCACAGTACCACTTAACTTCAAAAAAGGGAATGACACACGAATGAGTCTAGTTATACAGAAATTAAAAGGAAGAACCAGGAGAATGAAATGCCTGCAAACTGCATAGGAACTTCTGGAAAGCACAATGAGAGAAGCTCAAATTGCATGTGTGCCCCAAATAAAATAAAAACAGTGGAACTCATTTACCAAAGGATGTTGTGAAGGTCAAAGGCATAACTGGATTCAAAAGAAAAATTAGACACATTCATGGAAGACAGGCCCATCACTTATAATTACCCAACATGGACAGGGATGCAATCCCATGCCCTCGGTGTGACAGAACGAGGCGCAATGGTCTCAAGTTGTGGGGAGGTCTAGGTTGGATATTAGGAAACACTATTTCCCTAGGAGGGTGGTGAAGCACTCGGATGGGTTCCCTAGTCCTCGCTAGGATGATTGAGTTGAGGTTGGTCCTGCTTTGAGCAGGGGATTGGACTTGATGACCTCCTGAAGTCTCTTCCAGCCCTAGGATTCTATGAGGGATCACTCACTAAATTGCCTTGTTCTCTTTATTTCTTCTGAAATATACCAGCCAGTGTCAGAAGACGGGATATTGAGTTAGATGGGCCCCTGGTCTGACCAAGTACAGCCAATCTTACGTTCTTATGGAGTAAACGTCTAGACGCTGATCGTGTTAGTCCTCGTTTTCACAGGTTTGTTTGTGCAGCATTGGGCCTCTGACTTCTAACCCAGAGTCTTGATTCTTTCTGTGGCTTCAGGCACAATACTTGGCCTGGGTGTGTGTGTTCCCATCTGTAACACAGGGTCCTTCTCTGCTTCCCAGGGATTGGTGTTTGGAGGGTTAAGTGGTTAGTTTTCATCAAGCTTTTTGAAGTTGAAAAGTGCTACCTCAGTGCTGATCATGCCAGGCTCTCATCAGACATGCCCTGCTTCGTGCTCAGGGCTTGTCTCAACACAAAGATGTGCCTGTTCAGCAGTGCAAGTGGTGTGTGTCAAGCAAGCCTCAGTCCTAGCAGCGGAGGAGAGGGGAGGAACCAAAGTTCACGGCTGCCGGAGGCTCCTTCCCACCAGTTGCTCAAAAGTGGTGCAGGGGGACCTGGCTCTGTGACCCTCTCAACACACCAGAGGGAAACGAGGAATGAAGTTGCCCACTGCCTCAGCTCATTTGAATGCCTAACTCTGCATGCTGGAGTTTGTCGCTCTGAGTAGGGTTCCAGCTTTGCGTATGGTTTGGAATGCACCCTGAAAAGTTGACTGAGTAGGGAGCCATCCTGCCCTAATCGGGAAACCGCCCAAGTCTGCCAGCTCTGGGTTACGGGGTTGAATACACTTGGCGCACCAGTAAATATGTACACTCCTTTCTAAGAGTTGAATCC